GAATCCACACAGTGCTTTGGTTTTCATTAAGTGATTTTCTATTAAATCGGCGAGCTTTAATGATTGAGCCAAAACCAGCTGGGACCTCGATTGATGAAATGAGTTCCTCTAATGTCCATTCTACAGGGACCTGCCTCACTATTCCCATGCGAGTGATACTATAAGAAGGGATTACAGCATCATATTTAGCACCTGCAAGGGCTGGGTTCTCAATAAAGCAATTTGCATCTGCTGCACTTTTAAATTCGACTGAGATTCTATTGCGCCCTACTCGCTTAACACCGTCGCTAACAACATTTTTAATATTATTATGGTAGAGAAAATGACCAAACTTTATCGGTTTTAAAACTACTCCAGATGATAAATCATCTACTATCTTACTTACATGTACAATAAAGGGCGCACTGTCATTATTAGAGTATTTATGTTTTTTTTCAATGTAGTCAGGATGAGTATAAGAGGTCTGAATAGATGGTACAGGTTGAGATGGATCTGTAATTAATCTTTTCTGTGGATGAACTGAGTTATTGGTTGCTTGCGATCTTTTACGATTCGACTGATCGATCTCGATAGGCATATTTTTCTTTTTGGTACCCGCATGGGAGTCACATGTAACCCCGTCGGGATCGGGAGGATCTTTCTCCATTTTATTTTAACTACTTACATATATATACAACAACACAATTACTAAATACTTACGGATTTATAACTACTAAAACCAACACCACCAGAAATAGTAAACAAAAAAGTAAATCAACAGCTCTCAGAAGTACGAAATAGCCTAAAACAGAACGACACTTGTACACCTCACACCATCCGAGCACGCTCTCTCCCAACCTATTCTCCATCGAAACGAAGTTCCTTATCGCAATGTACGAATTTGACGGATGGGGGGTAGGCGAGAAAAAGTGTAAGATTTTCTGTCACGACCTTCTTTCTATAGCGCGAGCGAGGTGGAATAATATCCATCTTCCTGGCACTTTTTGTTATCTTTCCGTGAAAAAAATATTACGCTTCATTTTAATAGACACTAGTAATTCATTTATTTGTATTTGTTAATAATATAATACGTTTAACAATAATAATGTACTACGAAAGTAATTTCGTTCCAACAGAGTGTTCCACGGCATTCACGTATGTTTTTATTTTGGTTCAGCTTCCGTTGATCATCTCTTACGACACCCACGGGATGGTATGGGGTAGTGGATATTATTACACCGCCACTACGCGCTATTTAATACCTAATTATATATATTTACATATTCCTTATATAAAACGGGAGTGGCCAAACAACAACCTTATCCATATCAGCTAACACCATGTTTTTAAAAGGTTTATTAGGTGCTTTTCAAACGTCTTCAGTAATGATGTATGTAACTTGTTTTAACGTCCTTACGGCCTTTGTAACGGAGTCAATCGTATAACCAGATTGAATTTAAATTACTTAATAAGGATTAAGTGCGATGAACTGTCGGAAAACTGTATTAAAACGCAGTTAAGCTGCAGTACGGCTAATCAATGCCTTGCAGTAACCGCGTTTTAACTGACCCGGCTTTCATAGAGTAAGCCCGTGGCGCATAGTTGCCTAATCATCGCGTGACTGGCATAATCGCTATCGTAGTAGCACGGTCATATATTTTTTATTTATTTAAGTTTCGTTACTTTGATTTAAAATGAAAATCAGTTGTTGTAAAAAAAACTATGATCAATTTTGCTTTGTATAGGCGTATATAACATATTTTCTCGTTTGTCTAATATATATTATATTTTAAATGTATGTAGCATGCATTTGCGTATCGAACAAAAGTTTATTTTCAAGGGGCAGCCTGGACCTTTAAAAGTGTTTTTTTTTATAGGATAGAGTGACAAACGAGCACCCAGTTTAGCTGATGATAAGTGGTTGCTGTGGCCCATAGACATCTACATTCATCCTCGTTTGTGAATCAAACTGCAGATGCGTTGTCACCCGTGAGGACTAAGATGTAAAAAGGGTCTCCGGTTCTCACAGCAGTGTTAAGCTGCTATTTTACGGTGGTATTCTGTGAGAGCGTGGTCCTTCCCCTGTCGAGCCGACCCATTCGTACAACTACAACTATATTACTAATATAGCTGCAGCATGGCTCTACCACGTATAAAAGTGATGGCCGATGAAGCCCAATTCAATCCTAATCCACGCAATAATAGTAATTTCAACTTGAAGTATTGAACCATATTTCGACCACCTATTATAAAACTTACAATTTTTTGTATAAAATACGATGATTGTCTTATTACAGAATGAATGTATTAATACAAATATAATATACATTTTATACTATACATATGTATATACTGCCCAATTTTATTTTTGTAAGCATATTTTCCTCTTTAATCCGTTAACCCTCCACTATTGGAGCGCTCTACTGTCGTCTAGCACCTTAAAAGTTGGTCGCCTTGACCGACGTGCTATTTCGAGTCTGACAACGTTTACGAGTACAAGCATTAACTATCAGAAGACATGAAAGTAATGTTTGTATGTTTCTTTTTGACGTTACGGTCAATGAATAAGACGGGGCGTTGTGTTAAGCAAAATTCTCAAAAAAAAGGCTTTTGGAATAGAGATAAACCCGACGCGTTCTAACAATGTTTAAAGTAAAGTAAAGTTGCAGTCTATACGTCCCACTGCTGGGAACAGGCCTCCTCTCATTTCTGACAGGGTTTTAGAGCAAGGAAATATCCGCCGCGCTGCCACAATGCGTGTTGGTGAACTTCACATGTCTTTGAAATATTTTTTCTTATTTCTCAGACATGCATGTTTCCTCACGTTTTCCTTCACCGTCAAGCACGTGGTAAATCAGCACTTAAAATTGCAATTAAAAATTTCATTGGTGTCGGCGGGGGATCGAACTTACAGCGAGCGCTAACCATCTGAGCTACCATGGCTCTGACAATGCTTATTGAGGCATTATGTCGCCTAAGCTCAGTAGACTTTTGTTAGGCTATAAAAAATTAATGAACGATTTTTTTCATTTTCTTATTTATTTTTACTATCCCAACGGGACCGGTGAGAATCGAATATCTAGTGTTTAATATAAAATAAAAATTACTTACCGTGTGTGGCAAATAGTCCCCGAATGAGGCATTTTAAAATAGCGTCGTTGCTAAAATTAAATATCTGCACATTACATTGTACAAATAAGTACATACATTATAAGCAATAAAACAAAAATATGTCCATTTTAACACGTTTTAACCGACTTCAAAAAGGAGAAGGTGCTCAATTCGACTGTATTTTTTTGTGTTACCTCAGAACTTTTTTCTAGGTGAACCGATTTTGATGATTTTTTTTTATCCTTAATAATGCGTATTTAATTGACTTCAACTACATTGATGATGTTCTCATTTTATTTATGTTGAAGTCGGCTGTACAAAATTTAAAATTTTACCACTTCTTTTAACATCTAGTAAAGTTAAAAAAGGCCTCTAATTTCTGCGAGGGTTTTAGGGAATGCCTAGTCGAATTTAATTAAGGTAAAATCTCAATTATAACTTTGGGCTACAGCCTATTAAGTTTATTTAACCTATTAAATTTTCTGTTCTGCCATGCACGTTAATATGTAAGAACATTTTATAACTTGGACATCCAATGATACAAAATAGCGTGGATTTTAGTTATGAAAGGCAACGAGAGGCAGCCGTGAGCTATGAACGCTCTTAAATTGATATAGGCCGAAGGACATTAAAAGTAAAAGGCCGTTCAAAAAGCACAATATGCAACTTATGCATGTTGTTATAAAGGTCAAAGTTGAAGAACTTGGTTTACAAAAGCTTTTTCTTTTTTGATTGTGGCATCGCTACAAGGCTTTTAGCCAAAAATAATACATCATGAAACGCTGTAAGCCATATATTTTCCGAAATATAAATATGTTAAAACACTTCAAAATACATTGATGCGACACATTGTGATGTTATTGGAAGATTACGACCGCAACTCACACTAACAGAGAGTCTATGACTATTCTGTGGACGATACTATCCCAACTTCTCAAGGAGAATAAGCAGACTAAATAACTTGAGATTTATATGAACAACGTTGCGTTAGTCCCATCGTTGTCACTAATAATTTACATGATAAGACATTTAATATACAAAATCGCACCAGTTTTGTGAATCCATTAAAAACCCTTATTTAAGCGACATTACACGAGCAGCAATCCGGCAGCTGTCAAGTTCCTACCAAACCTTCTTCATTCTAATTAAGAATTAAGTTACTAAGTATAATATAAATGTTTTTATATTAATATTTTTATTTATACATGGTAGAGCCATGCTGCAGCTATATTAGTAGTATAGTTGTAGCACAAATGGGTCGGCTCAACCGGGTAAGGACCACGCTCTCACAGAATACCAGCGTAAAATGGCAGCTTGATACTGCTGTGTTTCGTATGGTGAGTGTAAAGAACCGGAGACCCCTTTTACTGGAGAAGAGGCATTCCAACTTAGCCCTCACGGGTGACGACGCATCTGCATTTTGATTCATTATTGAGATAAATGTAGATGTCTATGGGTCACAGCAACCACTTACCATCAGGACTGTGTGCTCGTTTGTCACCCTATCCTATAAAAAAAATTATACTGTTTGTTTGTCGACTGGAAGAAGCTTAAGCGAATACATGGACCCATTTCCCATGGATGTAGCTCGTAAGCGGCGTGTAGTTTAATTTTACATTAAATGACCACTGTTGAACTTAGGCCTCCGCCCAAGATTGCCTCACAGGAGGATTTTTGCCATAACTACCACGCTTGGTAAATGGCTCGGCAGCCACAGTTTATTTTAATTTTTTAATTGTTATCTAGACTCTACTATTTATCTCCTGTTTTAGTTTCCCTCCTTCACCCCTTACACCACCCACGGGACAATATGCGGTAGTGAATATTCTTACACCGCCGCAACAAGATTATTATATATTGACACCCTCATTAAAGTAGAAACCCATACTAATTTTGTGATTTGTTTATAGCGACGAGCGGAGCTGGTAGCGGGCCCGGCGGCGGTGACGTCCGGCGCGGCGGCGAGGTCACGCCGCATGCGCAACCGCAGCGGAGGCTCATCAAAGTCGACTTTGACAAGCTTGAGGTCAGTAACGTGTTTTAAGATCTTTAGTATTGTTAATGAATCATTGGCTTACTATGTGCGTCTTCTACCGGGTACAAGGTTTTTACACGGTAGAGCCACGGTGCAGCTATATTATGGGTGCAACACGAATGAGTCGGCTTGACCGGAGAAGGCAACGCTCTCACAGAATACCAGTGTAAAACAGTAGAATAAAGCGGTGTTTCGTATGATCAGTGTAGAGAACCGAAGACCCTTTTTAATGGTAACGAGCTAACCGTCACAGTCCTCAGGGGTGACAAATGCAGATCATTTTGATTCTTAATCGAGAATAAATGTAGATCACTATGGGCCACAATATCCACTTACCATCAGGTGGACTGTGTGCTCGCTGGTAATCCTTATTCTATAACAAAAAAGAATCTCGCTTGTTCCTTGGTTACTAGCGCACTATCGCTCCAATTGCTGTAGCTTATTCATGAAAAGTATTACCGTTGACATGAAGCTCTGTAATTATAGAGACCCTATAATTGCCCTCGAAGTTATTTGACGTTTAAAATCGATATTTTATTTCAATGTGTTCAACTAATCCCACCTTCACTATGTGAAGGCGGGATTAGTTGAACGATACTTTCACAGTTTTCTACTAACAACTGTTAGTATACATAATGTATAGAAATTAATAATTAAATGCAGTTGGAAAGCTATAGTTGGTTTATAGACTGCTTTTTTATAAAATATCACTTCTATCACATTTTTTACTTGAAGAATTTCAAAAGAAACCAATACATTACATACATACATAAAACCATACTATCCGTTTCTATGCCTGCTTTTAAGTCGTAATTCAGACCAATAGGTCAGATTTTGGCACATGATATCGTAATCGTATTGTTATAATTAGCGGGTAGTTAGCAAAGACTTCTATGTATACCATAGAAGTCTTTAGTAGTTGTACTAAACGTGTATCCTATTATCATAAAATACATATCGCGGACATGAATTGTCAAAAATTTGCAATCTAAAAATATTTACGAATAATTGAAAAAAAAATTGTATCATAATTTACCTAGCTTAACTACTTGTTTGTTAAACTAACATAACAAAACAATATTTGTAACATTTGTTCATTTTATTTTTATGGAACAAGAAAAGCACAATGTTTTCTTGCTTAATTTTTGGCTTAGCCTTGTAGGTTATTGCGACTCCAGACTGCTGAGGCATGTAAAAGTGAAATGGGGTCGAGAAAATTTGATGCACTCCATCAAATTAAATTTTGAAATTTAGGACGCCTTGCTTAGCTGTGAACCATTTCCAATTCGTTTGGGCTTAGCAATTCATGTTAATTCACTTTGGTTTATTGAATAATGTCAAAAATCACAGTAATGATAAGTCACTTCCGTGACGTTACGCACAAATTTTTCAGTTAACCTGTATCGACAGTTTTTGATGTAAGATAATCGGGAATAAAAAATGCTAAGGTATAAAAATGCAATAATATAAAGTCATGATCTATATCAAAGCGCTTGCATATTACTTGTATTTTTAAATTCGATTTTGTCATTTTTGGTGATCCGTTCTTTGGCATAGGGACAAGATAATTTTATCTCTTGTCAGTGGATATAATCGGCGGATAAAATTTTTGTCCCCAGCCCATGCTAGCCGTGCAAGTGTCCATTAACCAAATACCTTCAGGTGGGCTGTTATTCTCTGCAAACAACATACAGCTCCATTCCGTGTTGCGATAAATTTAAAGTCAAAAAAAGTTTTTGATTGATTTATAAAAAAAAAAAGAATAGATCCCGCCTCAGTTACGTTTCCGTGTCGTTGACTCTGCTGACCGCTTACGTCTGTGCGAGTTAATCGTGCGTGACCAAAATTATTCAGTACTTATAGATATTTTGGAGATATTAATAATGTTTATTCATCCCTCTCTCACAGCCTGTAGTTCTACTGTCTCCTACCCTCCTAATAAAAGAAATAGGTAAAAGGATGGTACTAACCAAGATGGAGTAAGTGAACGCAATATGCAATTTTTTTATTTATGGAACTACTTTTATCTTTGCAAGTAAATACGAACGAGATTCAATTATGAATAAACGTGTTTCTATTTTGGGCTATTGAACATTGAAAAAAATTTTTTTGCTCCTTTGCAAACCATCTGACAAAGGTTGTCTGAAAGGAATTACTTTTAGCGATAATACCACATTATATCACTTCTTTTTTTGTTCCCTTTTTTCTTTTGTTCTTATTTTTTTTTTGCAATAAAGTGGTATTTATCTATCTAACTTTAAGCTATCTCACATTCTCATCAGTAGTGAAGGACCACATCTCAGTATCTGAACTGACAATACATACTCATGGTTGTGTACTGTTGAACTGAGGTAAACTGGACTCTGCTTATCTAAAACCTTCATAAGATGTAAAACGGATTGACCTACTAAACTATTAAAAGAAACTGTATATTGTATTGGTTGGATATTTCGTTTATTGACTATCTCTTTGCGTAACATTGGAGCGGAGGCAGCACGAATCACAATAAATTGATTATTATAACAGAGCATGAAGTATGCGCTGCTCCCGAAGAGATTTTTCACTTTTTTCTGAAAGAATGTTATGATACAAAAAGTTTTCTTCGTTAATATTATAGTTAATGATAATTTTTTATAAGTTACGGTAAGATTGATTATATGTCTGAAAATTAATTAAATTTTTTATGAGTAGGATCTTGACCGCTCAAGTCTCAACGATTGGTGTTATGCTCGTTCATTTTGAACGGTATACTCGGCCATTAGTATCGTAACTAAATAAATAAATAACAATTAAATTACAATTAATATCTCGTTTTATTTCTTTCGCATTTAATATCAGCTAGGTCAGTGCTCATTCAAATAAAAAATCATGTCGCTTACTTACTACCCGTACTAGAGTGCAGAAAATGCAAATAAATACTTCTGATCGCTTAAAATTGTTCATTTATCTAAAGTTTGCTAACGAATAGTTACTATTAATAATTTAAAATTAAATATTTTGTACAACCGGCTTCAATATAAATTATTAAGATTAACTCAAAAATTATAAGTCACACCTTGATAAAAAAAGAATCATCGAAATAGATTCACCCAGAAAAAAGTAATGAGGTAATACACATAAAAAAAGAACATACCGTCGAATTGAGCACCTCTTTCTTTTTGAAGTCGGTAGAAAACACTTTTTAAATGCACTTCGTATAGGTATAACAAAATCAAATTTTATTAAGAAGTAAAAGCCAAGAAATAACTAAAAGCTATTAAATAATATCTACAATATGCTTCTGTATTGGGTGCTGAGACATAGTGTTAGGACTTCAATATAACTTCAAACTCGGTTATATACATATATATTATATAATATTTAAAATATGTTTAGTTATTAAATTAGTGATGTGTTATTTAAAAACGATTTCAAAATACCGATAGCTTTCTTCGTTCCTTTTTTGTTTTCCTATTTTCCTTTCTTTACGTATTTTCACTATAGCGTGGAGCTTTTCCTCGGCCAAAGTTCAAAAATGAATTTCTACTCGTAAGACACAGTACAGAATAATTAATGTCTCATCTTCAGAAGCTATTAAGATAATGTTATTTTATTGTTTTTAGCTCCTTCAAGCCTGCTTTTACATTTTATTAAAAGTTTAATGTTTTACCCTTGTGACATTATCATTTAAAGAACTTCATTCCCTATTTTTCCACTTTGGAACGGATGAAATTTGTTCTTCAAATTTATATGGGATCACCCTTTTATAACGTAGTTATTGAAAATATAACAGAGCTTAAAACGTTTTTTATAATGGAATCTGGTATATCTTACATTCTAAGTAAGCGTAGCCGATAGGATGATGTCTTTCATTCGCAAATAGGATGTTGTCTTTCATTTGAACGATTTGGTTAATTTGATTAAATTATGTTAATTTACTTCATTAATCTCTATATTATCTACGAACATAACAAGATTAGCGCAGTGGTATATACCTAATATGCCAGTTCAAATTTTAGGTAATCAGTTATTAAAGTTACTAATAACCATCGCCTAACGGTACACATACAAAAATTCCTTGTAGAAAGTACAGTTGTGCAAACACTGGCAAGGTTTCCGCGGCCTGGTTTTTAAATGTGACATTATTTTCAACTTTACAATATTACTTCCAAAATGAAGTATTTGAGTTTTAAAATTGAAAGGCAGGGACGCAAAGAAGGTATCCAATCTTTCAAAATATTGTACGTTATTCACGCCGTATTATTTGTTGAAAACGTTACTGAACAAGTACAATAAAAGTATCTGGAAGTGACACTTTAGTTTGATATAATCGTGACTCACCGCATGATGTCCTCTAATTGGTATATGCTATCATTGACGTATATCAAATCGAAAATAACCGTTTACATTTACTAATTGTAGCGTTTTTGTTAATTGGAATTGGATAAACGATGATAACATGTGAGGTTCTTTACCTTTCTCCCACTGTCGGGCACAGGCCTCCTTTTATTTCTTGGGAGAGTTACGGAGCAGGATAGAAACTTCTTCTGGGTTTCAAAGTTTAAAACGCGTCACTAACGAGCCGTTTAACATACACACAAACCCTTTTTTAAATAAAATTGTTGAATAATCGAAGATATTGTGATATTTTTTACATGTATCTGCGATGTAATGAACCAGATATTTACAGAGAACAATCTCCCACGTAAGTCACTTGACTGATGTCAAGTGAATAAGAAACGTGAATGACTGAAGTTTACATTTTTGTCTTTCATGTCTACATATATAAGCATTTCATAAAAGCAACGACGTAAAAAAACTACACTCTTTATTTTTTTTACCATATTTTATTGCTCTACATCTCTGTAGTTTTTTATACAACTAGAATGAGCCGAAAGTCTGTACAGCTCTCGAAAATGAACACAGCGCCTCGGGCCCCGGGGAACGTAGCATTCGCAGCGCACAAAAAAGAGGAGAGATCACGGTCGTTCAAATAGGGCTGCTAACTGTAGCGACCGGAACTGTTATTGTTATTTTGTGTTATTTTTAAGCTATATACCGTCGCAAATTAATTTCGTGTCAACTCATTTAGATTCTGAAACGCGAAATTTGTGTCGGATTTTAGCGGCTTATACGGTATTATTAGTGTAGTTTTTGAAAGTTATAACAGTTAGGAGAAAAAAGATCTTTGATTGATTGATGTACGGCACGTTCAGTATACATTTTGAGCGGCTGCAACTCAGGATAAAAGACATTAATATACTATAGCGTAGGCCATACACGTAGAACACCCGCTGTACGCTCTTCACATAAATAAATCTGGTAAACACTGTATGTTTCCATATTAAAGATAGGTATGGGTCTGATCATGAACATCTTGATGGTAGAAACTCATTACGGGCTGTTTAAGCGTAATGCGGCGCGGGGCGTTCGCTTTGAGTAACAAAATATACTTGTGGCTTTCTCTCATAAGTGGCTGCTCCTCACTACTAACTAAACTAAAACAGTTCGAACTTTTTTTTTATATAGAATAAGGGTGACAAACGAGTACACAGTTCACCTGATGGTAAGTGGTTGCAGTGGCCCATCGACATCTACATCTATCTTCGTTTGCGAATGAAGATGCAGATGCGTTGTCAGCCGTGAGGACTAAGATGGAATGCCTCTTTTCCAGTAAAATGGGTCTCCGGTTCTCTACACTCACCATACGAAACACAGCAGCATTAAGCAGCTATTTTACGCTGGTATTCTGTGAGAGCGTGGTCTTTCCCCGGTCGAACCGAACCATTCGTACTACAACTATACTATTAATATAGCTGCAGCATGGCTCTACCACGTAAAAACCGCCACAGGCTCCGCTTTACGCACTAGTCTAAGGTTTTAGTGTTAGACTACACAAACGCAGTGATTAATAAACACTTTGGCCACACAGAGCACCGGAAATTTTTTTGCGGTATTGATTTTCTCCTACATTTTTACTGACTACATGTCATGTAGTAATTAATAAAAATATATTTTATTATCTCTATCCCTACATAGTATAAAACAAAGTCACTTTCCGCCGTCTGTACGTTTAGATCTTATAAATTACGCAACAGATTCTGATGCGGTTTTCATCAATAGACAGACTGATTCAAGGGGAAGGTTTATATGTATAATAAATGCATATTGTGTATTATATAATTCTTCTGTCCGTGTGTATGTGACTTAACTCCTCCTAAACCTTTATGTGTGTGATTAAGTTGAGAATAGAGTAGTAATAGAGAATGGTTTGAATTCACAATTGGAACCGGTAAGTGGCGTTGTTGTCGAGATATAACAATTCATTATGATGTATGCTATATATTTATAGAGTTGTTTTTAGTAAATAAATATAATTAAATAATCGTAGGTATCATATAATATGTGAATCGTCTCTCTAAATGATGTTGAACGTTCAACTGTCAACTATAGTTGGCTTCGTTCCACTTCATTAGCATTTAACCCTTTTAAATAGGATTACTTATTTATCTTATTAGGCCTATTGACATTACCTCAAACTAATAAGCTAAATCAAACGTACTCCTATAAAGGCTGAGGACATTAAATGGCCGTGGGCAGTGGATTAATTAATGTTGGAATATTAATACTTTTTTAATAATATATATAATTATTTACCCGTGTAGTGGTAAAAATACCCACTACCCCATATCATCCCGTAGGTGTCGTAAGAGGCTACAGAGACACAGAGGGAAACTGAGGCAGAGGATGGGCAGCAGCATCTTTCTGATAACAGCAAAACAATAATAAAAAAAACTACGGTTGCCAACCCGCTCGCCAAGCGTAGCAACTATGACAACATACCCCATGATTAAAGTTACGAAGAGACGGCCTTCAGTCCCCGGCGGCCTCGCTATTCCTGGCTACGGTGGCGACCGTGGTGACGGCGGGGTAGGGGTGCTACGAATCTGCGCTGGAGGTTCGGTTGCCACCTAAGACGATTCGACCTGGCAACATATAGCGCACGCTCCCTGAGGGCTGACGAGAAGATCCTGGAGCTAGGAGAAGAGATAGACAAGGTGCATGTTGTTTTGCATGCTTGTTTGCCCCGTCTCCTATAAAAAAAAAACTCAGGACCGTGCTTTGTGGCAATCCATGGGGGAGGCCTATGTTCAACAGTGATGACAGACTTGGCTGTAATGATGATGATGATGGTATAATTATTTAAAAAAAGCTTTGTTTTTTTCTGCAACTTGCTATCTTTGTCAATATCACGGTTTCATTTAAACAGTTTTAATCACCTAACAGTGCGCGCCATTTTGTGAATATGTGAAGCAGGCTTAGTTTAACGTTTACAGCCTATGACTATGAGGTGGCCACATATGCCGCCTCATAAGGGGGATATGTGCCATAGTTGCACGCTTAGCAGACGCGTTGGGAACAACACTTTTTTATTTTCTTGTTATTGTAGTTATTACTAAGACGCCGTTGGGCATGTCCTAGTGTGTTTCTCTCCTAGTGCCCTAGTGTAACCTATTCCAGTGAACCAGGTATAAGTTAATACGTGTTAGAGCCATGCTGCAGCTATATTAATTGTATAGTTGTAGCACGAATGGGTCGGCTCGACCAGAGAAGGACCACGCTCTCACAGAATACCAGCGTAAAATTATTGCCGTGTTTCGTATTGTGAGTGTAGAGAAACGGAGACCGTTTTTACTGGAAAAGAGGCAATCAATCTTAGTTCTCACGGCTGACAACGCATCTGCATTTGGATTTGCAAACGAGAATAAATGTACATAGATGTCTATAGGCCACAGCAACCACTTACCATCAGGTGGACTGTGTGCTCGCTTGTCACCCTTATAAATGTTTTAGTACACCTACCCATACTCGATATAATGCATAGGCAATATCATCGGATCTTACCTTGGTTAGCGACAAGGTCAATCTTAAAAATCCATTGAAAATCGACAATTTTTGTATTTGCAAAAATTTCGGTTCTGGCGAAAATTCGAAACCAAGGGCCTCACAGTCAAGTTTGTTAGACATTTTCAGTCATGTAAAGAAGGATCGGACTTAAGAAGGCTCCGCTAGGTCATGTTTGTCAGACATCTCCAGTCATGTTGTATGTAAGAAGGGAAAACCCTTGAACGGGGAAGGCAATTCACTTGCAATACGCATGTGATTGCTTTGCATACTAATTTGAATGTCCGCTTTCACCTCAATGTATAAGGTTAAAGGTTTAGTACTGCAAGCAACTTTCGTTTAATGCACTAACTTGTACATTTCACTATGTATTTAAAACATATTTTTAAATTATATTTTTATAAAAGTATTTACAATAAAATATTACGTTCTTTTCTTTTCCAGGACGACGAAGACGATGACGACACCGAAACGTGTATCAGCCCAGAAACCTGCGTGCCCCAACCATTCCCAAGGCATATGGCGCCACAGCAGCCGGCGCCAAAACCTTGGAAGAGAACTGGTACTAAACTGGCTTTGCTTTAAAAATCACAATATATACGGCCCCACAGGGGTACAGGTTTAAGCGTGTCACATGTGACCCTAAGTCGCTCAAAAGTTGATCGAAAGCCAAGGCAAATATATCTTAAAGTAATAGCGGAAAATAGCTTCACACGTGCGACCCAAGTACAACCCTCGCTTGCTGCTAAGACCGCTAACGATGCCAAGCCAAATGTTTGATATATACTTGGGTTTTCGAATGATGCACTTTATAAACGCATGTTTTGTTTTATGATGCTAGACTCTACAGTAGAGCTTAAGGGGTATGTAAATACTTGTTTTGTTTAAATGGTAATAAGGTTGCACAATAAAGAATAAATAAACATTTATATCATTAGAATTAATTGTTGGCTACTAAGAATTACAAGTACCAATGTCTAACGGCTATGTCACAGCTCTCGTGTTCTTTTTATTATAATAGTAGGTATTACTAAAAGTTAAAACAGCAATTTACACAACAAAATATTTTAAAATAATAACATATTATTTGTTCTTTCAATCAAGTCAAGCAAGTCCGGCGCAGGTAAGACACCACGCCGAACCATGCTCCTTTTTGATTAATTATGAAAGACAAGTATAGTAGTATAGTAAATTATATTACGCTATTATTTTTTAAGACTAAATAATAATAGATTTAAGAAGGCTAAATTGTCACACTCTCTCCCACCGCTCCACCGGGCGGTTCCGGAACGAGCGCGGACGAGCCGCCGCGCGCGCCACCGCGCACGCGCATCTCTCACCACGAGTACCACCAGTTCTGCGACGAGACGCTCGAGTGTATGATTGCACTACGCAGTAGGCTGCATGACTCGATGCCTTTTTCTGTTGCGTTAATTTAATTTTAGACATGCAAAATTGCCGCTGCTTCCAAATATCTTATTTCAAATAGCCAATCGCAGTTTCAAACCACAAATCGCAAACCATTTGAAATTGTTTCATTGTTGTAATCTCATTATGCACATTTTAATTTTGCTGTTAATTTACCTATTTTTAATAATAATAATAATAGAATTGTATGTCTGTAAGATCTCACGACTGAAGAAAAACACTCGAATTCTGAACTAAATCACAAACACAGAGTACCACAGATAACTGTATACTAGTCAGAGACAGATGGGACAGTTCTCTAATTGACGGTTAGTTCCAATGAATTCGCAAGGCGCTAGTGTCGTATAGTGATGCAAACTAGGTCTAATATTCAAGTGTCAATATCGATAGTTTAGTGATGCACAGGTAAAAAGTCGATATGCAAGGATTATTTTCTTATTTTAAAATACTTATTTGAAAAGTTCAGCGAATAAATATCTGTTGTATGTATTCAGTCTTAAATTAGAATAAAACAACATTTAAAATTTTATAATTTTTTAGAGTAGCAGAGTACTTTTTTATATAGGAAAATCACAAACCTAATTCGTTGCCTAGCAACAATAAAACTGATTTAGACAAAGCTGTTAGAAATAAGAAATCGATCACAGAGTACTTTTTATATAGGAAAAAATCGATTCTATGCCCGTAGGATAAGGATACCTAGGTTCGAATTTACTGACGACTTCACTCTCTAAACTTCCATTTTGATTGTCATCAACACCGGCATTACACGCCGCATTGCATTTGTGAAACATTCCTTAGTGTTCAGTGGTGACAATGCTATGTAGCTTTTTTGTTTGAAGTTGGCTACAGGCGTCCATGGACTGTAAGTTTGTTTGTCATTTCAGTTTTATAATATAACGAGAACACATTTATTTCATTCACACACTATTACTATAGTTAGGTTTGGTAATAATACTGACATTAAATACTTAGGTACCTACTTTTATTCAAAAAAATTGTATTATACTCGTAATATATATATTTATAATGCTTCGCAATGCAACAATTAATATTTCGTTGGCATTTCAGTTATAACGCTACGTAGAAAAGCTGCTTTAAATATTTCGCATTTTTCACGTTAAATTTGTTACACATTACGTAGGTTTTTGTATTTACTAATGAATCACACCGCATTTACAAAAATGTTAGGTATTGAATTCAAAAATATTAAGTTAAGATATACAAATAAATAAAATTGAAGTGTGTTTGTAATGTCAAAATAACATACTAAATGCATATGAAATTATATACGGTATGCGTAACAAAAAAAAATTTTTTTAATGTTTTGTCTATTTGTCTGTCTGTTTGTTCCGGCTAATCTCTAAACGGTTGGAACAATTTTGACGGGACATTCACTGGCATATAGTTGACGTTATAAGGAGTAACATAAGCTACTTTTATTTTTGAAAAATAACTAGGATTCCGCGTAAAAAATTAAAACCCATGCAATCCACTCGTAATAAATTCCACGCGGTCCAAGTCGCGGGGAACAGCTAGTTTAACAATATAATATGTACTTATTTGAAAGTAAGTTAAGTACAGTATGCGTAAGTATTTAATTTATTGGGTTGCGATTGTAATTACTGATACCTAGTATATTAATAATTTACAAATCTTTGTTAACTATCTGTTATTTTTATTATTTACATCCATCAATCATTGTATCAATATAGTATTTATTTGCTTTAAAACTTAACTGTCGACATACTTACCCCAGTATGAATAATTGCTTCATAAAAATTTTGTTGTAACATAGAGTAATAGTTATATCAGTTCATAATTATGATCTATTGTAGACATAATTTTATTGCAACTAAGACTATTTTTTTCAGTAATTAAATTCTTAAAATCAAATTTAGTATTATCGTATTAATGTGCATAGTAGATGAGTTTATCAAATCTCAAAATTATAAATATGTATATTTAATAAAATGTACTCACTTTGTTGTATCTGCGCAGCATACGACCTGGCAACACAGTGTCCGTCGCGACGTGCTTCGATGCGCCGCCATACAGTCACGCACGTCTGCCCGCCCACCGACGGAGCGCAGTCGCTACCCCACTCCAGGTATCTTCTTAGCAACGATTCTACCAACATTATGATTTGCTTCGGATCGTTTTAGAAGACAGAACAACTTCCAAATACCATCGGAAGTTATTAGTTGCGAAATCAAATTATAGTGCCGTATACGTGCAAACACACAGGTATTCGTCCTAACGTAACGCTTAAATGACAAGATTGAAGGTAAATTGAAAAATCAACGTTTTTGTTTCAATGTTGACACTCAGGAGGCAAGATTCAGGCCCGTATTAATAAACCTTACTAGCTCAAGTACACGCACTTGAGTACAATATTGAGGTTATGATCTTATTAATAAACATATCTCAAGATGCGGATTAGGTTTACGATATCAGCTGAGTGCCACACTGATTATTAATAAACGAAACTCGACTCTCAAGTGTATTTACTTGAGTGCAAGTCACAGAACAGTGTTCCTAAGTACAGTGTTTTGAGATACTGTTTTTATGTGTTTATTAATTAGCAACGATCTTGAGATGCTGATATCGTAATGAGGGCGTAATTGAGTTCGTCGTTGAGTAACGTTTATTAATACGGCCCTTAGTGTTCTCTATTTTTATTCAGTATTAGCCGTAACCACAGACTAACTAGTAGATTCTACTGAATGCGGTAATTACATAAAATAAGAGAGTGGGAGACATGAGAGAATGATACAGGTATGCCTTGTGAAATAATATGTTAAGGCAACAGCAGCAGAATGTCTCTGTCCATAGTTTATTATCTGTGTAAGAGTACTATGTGTCAAGCTCCGTGTTTATTTTTGAGACAAATTTTGTAAGTGTATACAAATATTACTTTATTGTTACTGCCGCTCAATTTATTTCTTTCTAACTATGGCATTCACAAAAATTCAAATGCAAGTATTTTGACCGCCATGCGATTGTATACTTTGTGTCTTCATTCCGTAGGCCAGGTTCGCGTGCATCGTGTACTGGGGCTGCGTCGCTAGCGAGCAGCGATTTGGACGGGCCGCTGGGCGAGTTATCCTGGTCGCGTTCCTCGCTGCAGGACGAACTTATCAAGTCGGTTAGTGGCAGCCCTAGTAGTACGCATGTGAGTAGAAGCTAACGTATCATGATTTGGTTGTTAGGTTTCCGTCTTTAACATTAGGTCTTTACCTATGAAATTGCTATTTTTTATGAAATAAGTTAACGTATTCAATCGATGCATCTTTGCCAACGCAGTGGCAGTTTATTGATACCCTTCTTAAAGAAATCAGCCGAACGGTAGATAACAAATTCTTTAAAGGCATTTTGTACCGCCTCTCGGGTAATGAATTTTTTTTCGCCAAAAAGTTATCCAAATTCTTAAAAAAGTCAGTAAAGAAGTCTGTAGGCGCAAGGGTCTGTTGTGTACGGCGGATGACAGAGAGCTTCCAACCTCAGCTCTTATAACTTGGAGACCGTCTGTTGCGCAGTATGAGGTCGCGCGTTGTCATGCAGGAGCAGCCGGAACAAGCGATTGACCAAAGCTGGTTGGATACGTGCGTGCTTCTACATCTTTGTGTTAAGTTCTTCACAGTACATATCTTTAGTAATTGTCATCCCGTTTGGTAAGAAGCTGTGATGAATCATACCGGCCCTAGACCACCAAACAGCGACCATCACTTTTCTAGGGGTAAATTTTCGTTTATGGCATTGTTTAGATGCTGAACCAGGATCCAACCAACTTGATGAGCACTTGCGATTGTCAAACAGAATCGATTTTTCGTCGCAGGCAACAATGCGGTTCGAAATTTCTTCATTTGTGTGTCTGTTGAGCAGTGCAAGGCACGTCTCGTCAAGTACTTCGTTCTTGCGATCATTGAGTTCGTGGGGCACCCATTTGTCAAGTTTTTTACCTTTCTAATTTGACGCAAATGGACCCGAACCGATGTTTTGATGCTAACGTCGAAAGCTACTGCTAATTCAGCCGTAGATTGAGTATCACCAGCTTCCACAATTGCCTTTAATTCGTCATTGTCGACTAAAAGTTTTCGTCGACCACGGGATTCATTTTTTAAGTCGAAATTTCCAGAACGGAAGCGAGCAAAACAATAACAGGTGGTGCGTGTGTTTGTAGTATTCGCTCCGTAAACGTCGTTGATGTTGCGTGCCGCTTGTGTCGCGTTGCTGCCACCACGGTACCTACTTATATTCCATAATTACTCGAACTTTTAACGTTTCCATGATGACGAAAAAGATTCAAATGCGATGAAAACATAACTCTAACAATATACAAGTAAATAATTTTGAAAAAAGAATTCCATATTTATAAAATATAATTAATTTGAAATTAGAATTCTTAGCCAAACAAAAATTATTTTGATTTGAAATGGCAAGTACTGCAGAATAGCAATTTCATAGGTAAAGACCTATTATCCGAAATTAGATTCTGTTTCCGTAGCGATAATATTATGATCCTAAGTAAGTTAATATTATTTACTCTAGCGAATAGAACTTTTTTATTATTTAGTAGTTTTGTATAAATAATTATAAACAAACTTATGCTCAATTGATGTATTTAGAAAGATAACATATTAAATTCTAATTTTATTTAAATGCATGAGGCCTTATTTTTCATTACATATGCATAATGAGACAGAATTATTATTTCTATTAGACGCGTACAAGTTTACACGCTGCTTTGTTTTTATTATTAAGTAGTTGCAATTTTTTTCTTTATTTCTTTTTAAATAATTCACATAATTAATATTACTGTAAACCAATCCTATTTACGCTTAAAAATGAGTTGCCAACCTAATATAATATCCTACTATGTGTACCATTTTTAACGTATCTATTTTATTTCGATGTATTACAATTTTTTTTGTTATTTTATTTTAGTATTCTCATATTAACTTTTTACTACACTCACTTCATTTTATATCTGCATCACCCCAAGGTAGACTGGTAGATAATGCCATAGCTATTAAGTCCGCCTACATACCATGTGTGTATATGAAGTTTTAAATAAATAAAAGGTAAATATTGCTTCCATCAACTACATTCTCCCAGGTAATAGCCGCGTAGATACTATATTTAACTTAAAAAAGTTGTTACTAACTCCTTTTAACGACCTGAACTCGATTAACGGATTCGATTTTTGTGTCATCTTATCCAATTTGTGTACAATGGTAGTAACAATTGTAACTTATATTTTTGGTTCATTTTCTCCTTTTAACACCTCTCTAAATCTTACGTTTAATTTGTAGTTTCTTTAGAGCAGCACATTAAAACAGCGAAGCTTTTTAGAGTTCAAAATTAAACTATTTCTCATAAAAGGGCGTGATACATAGACTATGTGTGACGTAACTTAGGATTTCAACAAATAACATGATTCATTTTCTAATTAATTTAAATCTTCCTTTATTGATTAATTTCTACTTGCGTATACTTTTTCCGCAGAAACAATGGCAGGATGCTATAATGTCCGACGATCGCCTCTCTCTGACGCTTGAGGAGATAGTTCACATCAGATCTGTGCTGACGAAAGCAGAGCTGGAGGTTTTGCCTGTTGAAGGCAGGGTTAAAGAAGACGTTGAAAAGAGAAGGGTTTGTACATTTTTTTTATTTCAAGTTATACCTCACAATAATTAGAGTGAAATTATTTTCTTCCTATTAAAATGTTTAGGACTTCTGCACATGTATTTGGTGCCATTGAAACTTAAAATGTTCAGTTTATTCTTGACTTTTTTTGGCGCAAAATCTACAAATTATCTTCTCTTACACACACACGCACACACAAATTAAATTATCTCTATCAAGCTTTGTTAAAATAATATTTATTATTTCAGGTATGCTTCCTATGTTTGAAAACAAGATTTGGCATTTTCGGCCCCTGGGGGCAAAAATGCAAACTGTGTAAAAAGACTGTCTGTCAGAAGTGTTGTTCGAAGGTGAGTTAGTTATTGCTATTTAATTCTTTTTTGATGCTTTTCCTACGTGGTATTTCCATACTTTAATATCTTTTTCAAATAATGTGTTTGGAAGTGTTCATGTGTACAAACCTATCTATGTGTGTTACCGTGTGATACTCACACGGTTGTAATTTCTCCAGTATTCATTGCTCTAAGTTAATACCTCATCTAAAAAAACATTTATTCTCGTATCCTCAGATGCGTATACCGACGGAGCACTTCGCGCACGTGCCGGTGGTACTGCTGAGTCCGTCGCTGCTGCCGTCGCCCGAGGACGAAGCGCAGTCCTCGTTCCCCAGAAGTCTCATGTCACGGCTTGTCTCGCCAGAACACACAGTGAGTGCTTGTCTTCATGCTACCCGCTGTTATAGCAGGGCGACATCTAGCAATTTAAAACATCATTGTAACTCGCTTGAACGTTAATTTTGACGTCCATTGACTGCCTGCATGTCTTACCAGGTCGTCACTTCATCTGTGGAGGACTAATTGTAATATCAGTTAATTGTAAAATTGTGTTAAAATAGCACAACATCGAAGTAATTGTAACGGTACTTAAAGTTTTTGGGGCCAATAAGCTTCGTGGGAAGTGACAAACGAGCTAACTAACAGAGTTAGCTCGTTCGTCACTTCAATGTAATGAAAAATACAAATCATACGAATTGAAAATCAAACATTTGAACATGTAAAATAATCCGATTTTCTTTTAAAGTCCTCAAAATCCATTGCTGACGCACACTTATGCACATAAAACTATGTTGTTGATTGTAAATAATTGAAGACGCACAAGTGTGAGTTGTATGTAGCGTTCTGCTTATTTTTCTTTGTTTCTATAAGTTAGTTCGTAGATCTTTGAAATTAGACGTCTCAAAGGTAGGATTCAGATGCAATAATTCGACTTGCGTTCAGGTGGCGGTAGACAACAGCGTGGGCAGCGCGCCCAGCAGCCCGGTGTCGCGGCGCGCAGGCTGCCCGCAGTCGGCGCCCGGCTCGCGCGGCAACTCCGCGCTGGGCTTCCACCTCGCCGTGCCCGCCATGACGCGCAGCGAGGGGCCCGGCAGCATGCCCTGCGTCGTGCCACTCTCAGCGCCCGAGCGCAGGTAAGCACTCCTGTGAGAACTCACACCAGCACTTCGCGCTGGGCTTCCGCCACAGCGTCAGTAGAGAGGCCCGGCAGCATGCCCTCTATCTATAGTCTAATAGTCCTAATGCTTACAATTTGCAAATTTTATTCCTTTCATCATTAGCCCAGGACATAGACTTTTTTCGGTAAATGGAGGATTTGCTTTTTGTTACGCTTAACAGACGGATTGAAGATCGCAGTATCAGAAATCTTGCTCCTTTGACGCTGTTGTCGGTCTGGATATTTTTTGTCTGTATCAAACCGAGATGGCTATAATACCATATATCGGAATTCATAAGATTTCTCTGGAATTTCCTACAGTCACCTTTTACGACAACCACCGCACGAAATGGGGTGATGAATTCCTTGTCTTACTTAATTAAACTCAATTGACATTTGAATGTAGCTTATTCAAAAGAACCAATTTTGAAACTGAAGTTTTTTGGGATCAGTATGACAATCTGTTTGTTTTTTGTTCCACCTAAGAAATACAGATATTCAAATAATTTTGGAATACATGAAATATAACTGGACCTAAATTCAAAATCCTAGTGTCTGCTACTAATTTATGACTTAATCTACTACTACTATGAACAGGTTAAGTCAGTATTGGCTCTAAAAATTAACAGACAGCTCCCGTCACACCATTACATGAATATTTTTCTCTATAGGGCTCGGTACGGCCGCAGCGCGACGGGAACATCAGCGGCTGAGCGTCTGCGCGGCGTACAAATGGCGGTGTGTCACGATTGTAAGGCGATGGTGCTGCAAATTATCAAATCTTCTCGCGCCTCGCGATCCGCTTCACGCGACCGCGCACTACGACACCTAACCCTCGATCTCGCGCCAGTTTACACCGCTAACTGTTAGTTCGCTCCATATTATATAGCCAGTATTGTGGCCCGAAGGATTGCTGCCGTGTTCGAGCGCTTGGAACGAAGTTCATGATCTGGTTTGACTGCGGTCAATTATCATATCAAAGACTTCTCCAACTAGTTTTGATCCGAAAATAAACAGTTATTTAAAACTGAGGCAGGTAAGAGACACCAATCTCTAAAAAAATGTTTAAAACGCCTGGCTATAACATACGTGTACGGAAACATTGGGATTGAATCTTGATGACTCGCTCTATGTTTTCTTTTTTGTAATTCTACCCTTTCTATATGTCTTCAATGTTCTCGGTCTGTAAGAATCTACATTAAAACCTTGGAATAACCAACGTTTAGCAATTGCATTTGCGCTAAACGATGTAAAAAACAGTTATATGGAGAACATTTTTTTCTTCTTGTACAATTTGAAGCTTTATCAGACTGTTTATTTGATCTATACGAAGATCAACGAGTGTTAATTTCAGTTTGTAGTTTTTAATTTCAAAATTAACGATGCCTAAAATAATATGACGGAATAATACGAGTAAAACGAAAAATAATTATTTCGTACTTATTAATTTGACATGAAAATAAATTTTAATGATGAATTTAGAATGTTTTTTGTTTTTGTAATTGACCTTTATGTTTTCTGTGGTCAAACGTTAATCAATAGATGCAAAAGTTAACTTTATCATAAGTATATTTCCGTCAAAGCAGGTTTTATTTCTCTTACAACCTTATTTTTGTAATTTTTTTCCCAATAAACATATGTATTTTGGTCTCTAATACTGTAAGAGATTTATAGACGGCACTAAAAATTGTGTCGCTTTAACAACTACGCATTGACTTATTTATAACTAGCGTACAACTACGTAATCGCATTGTTTGTTGAGACCTTTACGACGTTTTTATCTTTCATTGAGATCCGACAAAGGCGTCGTCAATTTTGCAAACCCGCGTCTTTGTTAATTTACTTTTTACGCGTGATCAATTTTTGTTTAGCGATCTAAACGAAATGAGATTTCAATCCTAATTTAAGTTATCCAGTGAAACTGATATGTGAGAAACACTGTAGAAAGATACAGATATTAAAACTGTAGGTCTCTTTATATAAAATATCTTTATTTTAAATAATAAAAGAGCTTCCGAGGTTGTGTAGGAACTATGTTGTTTTAGGCAGACCGTAATTCGACATATTAATTTCAGGTCGACAATTAAATATGTTTTGACAAAACTTTGTGACTTTGACAGATAGTAACGCTTCATTTTTTTTTATTTATCGCACAAAACCAGTTCGATTTCAAAAAGCCATAATTTACAATATACAAAAAAAAATATTCACATTATATTAAAATTTTAAATATTTAATGAAATTACTAAGATAGTATTTTGTCACTTATATAAATGTAAAAAAATATATATTTTTCCGAATAATAGAATTTTAAATAATATGTCTACAATTTAAATGTAAATCACGACATTCTGTGTTCAAAAAATATTGTAATTTGCTATGAATGTTATTGTATGAAAGAATATATCTGGATGTTAAATACTTAGTCAATATTTTGCTAAATTAACTGTGAATTATTATTTCAAACTCGAAGCATACCGAAACCTTCCTTGATTACTATGTTTAATTTAAAAAGAAATCGCTTTAAATCGTGATGATTCTATGTTATTCAACTGACATTTTCTCTGCAATTGTAATTATGAATAAAGTATACACCAATTCGAAGTACTGTGCCATAACGAGCTTTCCACATAATACAGTATTGGCATACGGGTGGTTAAACTGGTTAAAAAGTGCATAACGTTAATCGCTCGTGTGTCGATGTTTTTTTTATTTTAGTTCTATAAGATTAATTAAAAAAAGAACAAAAACAGCTTCCGTTATTTTAGTTATTATTTATTTTTGTAAGCTTTAAAACAACATTTTTGTAAGCTGACCACATATTTTGTAACGAATTCCTGAAACGATTTTAATTATTACCTTTTGGTATGTGGGTGTGGGATAAATCGATGTCTCTTAAAGAAAATTGTCTATGCACAGTCTTGCCTATTAACAATTTTTATGTATTGACTTGATCAGCACAATAAATTATAATAAGAACACTAAACCCATTTTTTATATTACATATTCTTGTTGTTGACATTTGTTCGTAAAATTGAATATTGCTATAAGTCATTGGAAGTCATGTGTTGATTTCTAAAGCTTGTTTTTTGAATGTGTGGTCAGCTTTCATTCGTTAATGTATAAAGTAAAGGTACTATTTGCTTAGATTCATGTGTCACTCATTATGTAGAATACCCTAGTTTTACTTAAATTATTTTGCCAAATATGTAACCTCTCCCAAGGCCTAATTGTATATATAGATTTCTTTAGCGTCATCTTTTAATCGGTTGCTTAATGTAGGCTAACTACGTCTAAGTTTGTTATTTTTGTTAAACTGGGAACTTATTTATAAATATAATATAAATATTGTATTAAATGCAACATTATTATCTGTGGAAATGGCTGGTACCTAAGTTGTAAGAATGGCCTAAATTAATTAAAACCTACAATTTTGCTCGTACCCTATACAAAAACGTTTTTTTTTCAACCGCGAAGTTATCCATTTCATTACATAATGTAACCGAATTTGAACTGTATCTAACTAAATCAAATTCCCAGTTGAAGTCTTTGTAAATGTATGTAAATTTCAGTAGTCTATATTAGATGTTATGTAGATGATAACCTTCTAAAACATACTTATAGTAAAAAGAAATGATAATAATAATTACGGGAAATAAAACAAATTACAAATCGTTCTTAAATTCTTTCATTTGGAAATATCGTCAACATCCATGGATACACCACCCTATAAATAAAAATTAGGTAGATATCATATCGATGGCCCAGAAGACAAATGTATCAATTACAGAGATTGTAATTTTTCAGGAGAGCAGTTTAAATATATTTTAAAGTTTAACCCATTAGTATGTAAAGCTGAGCAGTGCAACGTATCTTATACTTCTGCTATCAGTTAGGGTATTTGCAACGCATTGTAGCTTTGCGGCACGATAGGCATAGACGTGTCCATAGGCCACAGTATCCTCTTACCAATAATTGTTTTAGAAATATAGGTATACACTACGATAGATACGTTAATTGAAAATGACCATACAATGGCATCCAGACCGAATTTCTGCTGATTTAAATGGAAGATAGCTATCTGCACAGGAAGGGGTTATAGTGCACGTGTGTGTGCGCAGGCAAAGGTGCTCACAATTCCTGCAATTCCCTCACCACTCCTATAGTCCAAGGGACTTTCGATGGAAGGACGGCAATTCAGAGTCAGAGATCAGGCTTTACATGCTTGCACGTAAAGCCTGACTGCATGCACAGCGGTGAAACACCGCCAACTTCCTGATACCGGGTTGTTACTGCAAATTTCTTGTCATAAACCCCAATATATTATTTCATTCCTGCCTGGGACCACAGAGTAAAGGAGTAAGGAAGGATAGAGCAGAACGGAAGCTTCCTGGCTACGTCTAAAATTTGTATACCTATTCAGATAGGGTTGTCACCTGATGCATGTGAAGGGTAGCATGTTTATGAACTGAGTTACAAGAAAAAACCTTGGATGAAGATTTCTAGTTATATGTGGTACTGGTGTTGTTGTTAGTGGTACTGGTGGTGGTAGTAATGGCTGTAGTGGGCAGTGGCGGCGGTGTTGGTTATGGCTGTGGTAGTAATGCTAGTCGTTGTGGTGGTGCCAAAGGTGGTCCAATGCCCACCACTAAAACCAACGATACTACCAGCTCCACCACCACCATTGACTCCACCACCACCACCATTAACACCGTCCACCCACCACTGTCTGGCGATTGTATTCCAATATGAATAATCCAGTGCGGAGCAGTGGTAAAAAGGGATATCCACTCGCCCCACTGGTGAGACGGGGTGGCATTCACAAACTGAAATTATTTACCTATATAGTTTATCTATAATGTCTTATTTTTTGCTACGCAATTTCTAAACTTAACTGTAATTATAAAAAAAATAATCACGAAATATTATTCGTCTATTTATTTCAATGCGCACGACCGAGCCAGCACAAACCTGTTTGTACTTTGTACCCAGACCCAGACGGAGCGGAGCGTCAGTGAACCTGTCGATGAGACCTCACGCTTACGCCACAGAATAAATAATAGTACTAAGTACTAGATATGCGCGCCGAAGACCTATTTCACGGCGGCGGCGTGGCCTGAAAATTTGAAAACTAACGGCCAATGAGTCACCCTTGGACTCTTATGCCTCCACCCATCTATGAGTCAGGTAGACCAGAAGATCACCAGTGATCCTCAAGATATACCGCATGAGCTGGCAGTTTATAATGGATTCCATTATTTTGGAGAACAAGATGGTGATAGCGATAGGCATAGCTAGACGAGTCTGAGCGGTTGCCTTTTTTATCCAGCCTGCAGAATGCAATCGCGATGTTAGTGTGAGTGGCACCACACTCCGGGCTAGACAATGGTCTGAGGAGCCAAGAGGGGAGTGAACGGAGACCTGATATCTATCTGAATGATAGGTCAGCAGAAGGTCCAACAGGGAAGGTGCATGATCTTCCACATCTGGAATCCACGTAGGCGAAGTTATCAGTTGTGTCAGATCATATGCCATGGCAAAGTCATAAACAGATCTCCCCGCATGATCGGTTAAACGTGAACCGAGCCATTCAGCGTGGTTGGCGTTACAATCGCCGAGGATCACCATCTCTGACGATGGGATCTTCTGTAGCAAGGAATCTGTAGCCATTTGGACGTGGTCGTTGTAAACATGCGGATGGTCGTCCTGTCTACGCATAGCCAAACGATGGACAGTTCCTTCAAGACTGCCGAGGCGTCGAGAACAGACGTCCTCTCTGATGTATACGCATACTCGAGCGCGAGGCACAAAGGAGTGTTCCAATTTGTACCCCGGGTAGGAGAGATACGAAGTATCACCCGGAGACACCTGATGGATCTTTCTGACGGAGACCTGCGTCTCGGTCAGAAAGAGCAAAGCTGGCTTCGCCGTTGAGAGACGGTAGTGGACGGCGTTTGGGTTCGAGTGACGTCCCCTGATGTTGCAGAAAGTCACGTGGCAGGGGTCGCCTTGACCTTGTTGCTCGCCCCGAGCAATTATTGGTCATGAATGCTCAGCAAGGGATTCTCCATTACCAGGGGTGTTGACGGGGGTGGGGGGGGGGGATTAGTTCTCCTGCACTCGCCCGACGAAACGCAAAAGCAGATTTTCCACTTCACGCCGGTGTGGTACAACCCCCGCTTTAGCCGGCCCATACGTGCAACAGTCGAATTTGCTGCCATTGTTAACACCACACAACAATACACGTTCGCTCGGTGAAATATTCGATTCGACTGAATGAGTGACAAGCGTGGCAAGGCGACAAGGCGAACTAATGCAGTCGGGCCGCGCGTGTGAGCAGGAAAGACAGTTGCGACACGTCGCGACGGCGCGCCGCGTGCTTCACGCGGCGGCGATGCGTAAACATGAACTCACTGCGACGGCGGCGCGCCGGCGCGGCGCTCATATCTACTACGTACAGAAGTTGCACTCCTTTAATATTTACTGCTTGCCGACGTTTTAATAGCCTACATAATTAGTATTAATTAGATAAATTGCGCACGGAAGCAGCGAGCGTCTAGGATATGATATCAAAATGCAGACTATCCGGAACATACACATAGCTGACGTGAACCGAAAAGTCCGTATTACTTTGCATCTTTTCCCCTTCCTACGTCACGGCGGACTTTTCGTGGTAACTAAGGGCTATCAAAAAGAGTAAAAAAATATATTGCGAAATGGTAAATTACTTAGGTAAGGTCAGGCGCGGTCCGAAGGGGAGGGTCACAGGGGACATGACCCCCCCCCCCCCAAAATCGTACCCATCAGGTGGATTGTGTGCTCGCTTGTCACTCTTATCCTATAAAAAAATAATGACTGCTGAATTTTTTTATAGAATATGGGTGACAAACGAGCACACAGTCCACCTGATGGTAAGCGGATGCTGTGGCATAGACTCTACATTTATGCTCAATTAAGAATCAAAATGCAGATGCGTTGTCACCCCTGAGGACTGGAATGCCTCGTTTCCAGTAAAAAGGGTCTCCGGTTCTCTACACTCACCATACGAAACACAGCAGCATTAATCTGGTATTCTGTGAGAGCGTGGTCCCACCCCGAACGAGCCGACTCATTCATGCTGCAATCACAATATAGCTGCAGCATGGCTCTACCACGTAAGATTCTGGCAACTCTTCCTATGATATTTCTGATGTCGCACCGCTTGTGCGACATCAGAGATATCGTTTTATACGCTAAGGTATGTAAAAACTTGATTGAGAGCAAACATGTTAGAAGAAAGGCTGACAGGTTTAGTTCTAAATATTCATCCAGAGATACGCCCCAGACGTCTCAAATATTATCACCCGATTTGCCAATAAAAATAGAAGACTTCCATTTATTTTATGATGTGTGCGATAAAATTGTGTATTTTGCAATAAAGTCTAATTTACTCGACATATTTTATTATTAGTGACCTCTTCCAAAATTTCAGGCTGCGACCGCGCCTGGGTAAAGTAACATATTCTGAGTATGATCGACTGACCATATTTTCGCTACTAAATTGTGAAAAAGACAAAAGATACACATCTAAAACCTTACGTAAAATCTTTTGCAAATAATATAATATGTAATACTTTACTCATAAAATATATAATAATTTTGATACTTACCTATATCTTTTTAAATATAACTTGTATGACTACAAAGAGTTTAAAGAGTACATTCAGTCAACAAAGTTGCTTTTCTGCTGATTTCGTATTTTAAAAGATAAATCGAATCAAAAATAACCTATATTACCGCTATTGAAGTGGCCATTGTTCAAAGAGAAAATTACAGGACCCATTGTAAGTTGGATTTAAAAAAAAGGCAGAATAACAAATTCATATTTAATTAAATCAAACGTGAACATGATAATATGTATTCGCCACAATTAGTACGTTATTCGATAAAAATAAAATAAATAACTAAGTAATATTAAATTTTATTTAAAAAAATGACAATGAAATAATACGACAATTATTATCACATTACATTTTATTGGTTGATCTCTATTGATGTACAAGTTTTGCCCTTGGCGAAGTTAAATAAATTGTCTAATAAATATCCTTTCGCTTAACCTACGACTAACACGCCTTCTTCGAGGAAGCTGTATGGAGGAACTTCAAGGTTAAGTGGTGCGGGACCTTTGCGAATACGACCTGACGCGTCATAGTGAGAACCGTGGCATGGGCAGTAGTATCCTCCGAAATCACCAGCATTGGCAACTGGTACGCAACCTAAATGTGTGCATACACCGATAACCACCAGCCATTCCGGGTTTTGAGTACGCTGTTCGTCACTCTGCGGATCGCGGAGTTCATCTATTGGGACTGCCTTCTCTGCGGCAATCTCTTCTTGTGTCCTGAAAATTGCAATCATTAATTACCATTTATTTGCATAAAAAATGTGACGACTCAGTAGCGCAGTGGCTAAACGTTTGGCTTTGGTAGGAAACAAGTGTCTTAATAAATGTTTGCCTATGTGAAATGTATGTATGTAAAACTCTTTCACAATCCAGAAAACCTGCTAGGGTAACCTATTCAGAACAAAGAAGAAAGCCAATTTCACCTTCCTGTAAAGTAAGTTAACAAAAGTAAACTTTTGAAAAATAAAGAAGGGAGAATATTTTTAATTTCGATGCGGTGCTTCTCGATACTACCCGCATCGTACGTTTGTTTCTTTCCTTTTCTACCTAACCCTCGACCGATTGGTCTCCCCTGTCGAGGGCTTCCATCTGGTTAGGTTGTATGCATTTTTATTTATATATAATATATATAAATAAAAAATTCATTCAATCAATCTACATTAATAAATATTTAATAGTGAATAGTAGACATTTACCGAATATTCGTATTCGGCGAATAATGATCACGAATATTTAAAAACTAATATTTTTGTACGCAACTCAATTACTGGCGGACTTAGATAACGCGCGTCGTCGGTGCGTAAATAATACGACGTGTGTTTTGGCCCTTAGCCTCAACGACGGAGGACTCCCAAAAATATTTTTTACTGAAACTATGTACAGTCGCCTCGGAAAGACTTTTTCAACGGCTGGGAACATCCAGACTGAAAAAAGAAATCGCCTAAAACCAGAAAATCTACAAATTTTATGTTTCTTAAATAAAAAATTTCCTATTGTAAATTGTAATTATTAGAACAATAGAAAATCATCAAATAAATTAGTTTTTTTTATTACCATGGCGAGATATTCGTATTCGTATTCGCCGAATAGTAGGTTTGATATTCGTATTCGTATTCGTAAAAGTAGTATTCGTTGCATCACTAATATTAATGTATTTTATCATTTTTATTTATATATTTATAGAGTCCAACCAGATAAGAAAACTATATAAATACCCCAGATAATAATAATTATAATAGAGCCAGCTAGTTCTCATTAAAGCAGAGCAACTAACCGTTTCTTGCGTACTACATCATATTACATAACTAGAGCCCAGCTCCTGACTTGCGAAAGCTCTTCAGATCATTTTCTATCCTCATTTCAAAAATACTTCTTACATTTTTTTCAATGCAAAGGAGAATTAATGACAAAATTGATTAATCATACTTAGTTGATTAATGTCTATGTATAAATTTTTGTTATTGTGATATAAACATACCTGTGGCGAATGAACAGTGGTTTGCCGCGCCACTTGAAGGTGACAGACTTGCCCTCAGGAATTTCACCCAGCTTGATTTCAATCTTGGCTAAGGCCAAGACGTCGGCGGCCGCTGCCATCGAAGATACGAACTGAGTTACGACTGACTTTGCTGCATAGGCACCAGCCACGCTACCAGCTGTAGAAAACAAAACTTTGAGTTCATTATTCATATAGAGTTAGTCTATAACAAGTGCGGTATCTGATTTATTAATTCTTACGAGTAAATCACAGGTTGCAAAAGATTATATTTATTTTATTTGAGCCTTTTACTCAAACGAATATTCTTCAAGGTCTCCTTACCCTAAACCAAGTAGTGCTTTGTCAGACGTTTCAGGCCCGCTAGATTCGCTAATTTACAACAAAGTAGTCAGTGTCTGCGATATAAAACATTACTCTATAAAAGAAACTAAAACAAAAATTCTTTCCTGTCTCGCTTCCTTAAATTATGACTCGCCAGAAAAAATATTCTCACACCTAGCATAAGGGCAACTATCATTATTAAGAAATGCTATATTTTATTCTATCTTTTAATGTTTGTTCATCTGTACATTAGTTTTTAAATTTTAAATTTAAATTTTGTGTTTAAGTAAAGCAAACAAAAACTAAACAAATTGTTAATGTTAAATGTGTACCCACAATACAGGATAAGGTACCTAGTGTGGATACCAATGGATACTTCAATGAGTTGCAGTAGTTTTCTGTCAAATAAACATTTTTCATTTTTTTAAAGCGAAATCAACAGTTGGGAAGCAAGAAAATTGTCTGGCACAATGAACAAAGTGTGTATGTGCACACACAAATCTATAAAGGACTTTCTAGGCATGTAGAACAAACAATTAGATGTTACATTGATTTTTATTTACATTGATTAACATAATATTATTTACATGTGCGCATAAAAGCCATGATATTTTGAAATTCAGTTTCATTTTGAAAATATATTGTTTTTATATGTCATTATAATTGATTGATTATATTTGTTAATAAGCATTTTTTTCTTTTATTGTCTAATCTATACGCCTGTTTGTTTGGGGGGATCCGGAGAATGGTGCTGAGTTTCATGTGGTTATGGTTTTGTTTACTCATATTTTGTCCAAGGGTTGACTTCTGATCTATGACATTACTTAAGATCTGGTCTGATACACTTAAGTACATTAATACAAGCATATAATTGTAATATCGCTTCATAAGTCCTGGGATGAAGTAAAAACAAACTGCATATTTTGAAGAAACACCTCTGCACATCCTAACTCATCTGAGAATCTATTTACTTAGTCCAAAAGAAGTGGAATTGCTCATAGCTAATACAAAAGCAAACTAATTACAAAATTTATTTTAGAAACAGCTTGGAAGTAACCACATCATTCCCAGGGGTTATTATCAACCGTGTATTCATTTATATCATAATAACCCTTTTTATACGGCTTTTGTTTAATTAAATATTTAAACTTGGTAATAGAGACACCTTTTATATTTTCTGGGACTTTGTTGTAATAGCATATACATTGCCCCAATAATGAATTACTGACTCTGTGGAGTCAAGAGACCGGTATCACTAGCTTGTGTTTGTTCCTAGTGTTTACTGTGTATATCACTTTTTTTTATTAAAACTATCTTTGTTTTTGTGAACATACATTAAATTTTCGTAATGAATCAACATGCCCAACGAAAACTGGTAATTGGTAATCGGATTCAGACTTATAGGATCTTGTGTTGATCTTTCTGTTCAATTGCATGCTCTCCATCATTGATTAAGAGGTAGACACCACATTGACTAAGTTCTGCATCTGTTTATCTTCATTTTTATTATAATGGAACATTTAGATTATCAGACAAACAACTCTTTGTCATTGTATTTGTATTCATGGATGGTCAACAATGCGTTGACATATTTGTCTCAATTCATTCAACACAGATTTTTTAAACATGGATGACGTACGTCTCGTTATTACAATATTTTTTCTACTTAACTTTTATAGACTCACTAATATTTTAAATGCAAAAAGAAGAAAAGACGGCAGTAGAAGAAATAGTTAGTATTAAGTAGAATATATTATAAAAGCAGTTTCGCTCTTGTGAAATTCTTAATTTCAGCTGGACCAAGTACTGCAAGTATATTTTATTGCATACCTTAAACGAAAGCGCAAGGTATGTTCTACTATCGCCTAAAAATTAAGATTCCAACGTTTTATCGAATAAAATCGTATCTAGCAATCATATTATACATATAAATGATGTAAAAAGCACATTGTTAGAAAGATAAATGATTGTTGAACTTATTAATGTTTTTTTTTAAATCGATTAATTGCTATTTTTAAATAAAAAAGGGGTTTTAGTGGCTTATAGTGTGGATATATCATGCCCTCAAGGCTTGTAAACACAATAACTCTTGAAAATATCAATTGTTTAACTCAAACTATTTTTTAATTTCTTCATCTATCATGTGGGAAATCACTGAATGTAAATGGCAGTGTAATTTTGTTTTGTTTAGCTATAATTATTTTTTTTCGGCTCCAAAGTGGCGAAATATTCGATGATTTAGTAGCCTTCTATGTAAATTATTTCTGTAAATGGGGAGCTACAGCCACAGAGTAGTTTACTCACACTCAGTTTGGGTTTGGCTTCAATCGCCGTCGTGAGTGGACATTGTTTCGGTTGTTTGCAGCGGCTCAAAAAGATCGCTGTATAAATACACAATATTCGAATAAGCAAATTTCTTAAATACTTGATTATAATAATAATAAGAGATTCTTTTTATTACAATATTTTAAAAGCACAGAATAAATAACAGTAGTACGTACTAAAAGTAAGTAGTATCAATTTTTTTGTCATGGGTGACATTTTCATGGTTTTCGAGGGTGTTGAAATCGATAGGGTTGTCGAAATGTAAATCCAAGATGGCGGCCGTAATAGGTATCAATTTTTTCATCATGGGTGTCATTTTCATGGTTTCGAGGGTGCTGAAGCCGATAGTGCTGTCGAAATGTAAATCCAAGGTGGGGGCTGCAATAGGTATAATTTTTTTCATCATGGGTCATGGTTTTCGAGGGTGTTGAAGCTGATAGTGCTGTCGAAATGTAAATCCAAGATGGCGGCTGCAATAGATATCAATTTTTTCATCTTGGGTGTCTTTTTCATGGTTTTCGAGGGTGTTGAAGCCGATAGTGCTGTCGAAATGTAAATCCAAGATGGCGGCTGAAGTAGGTACCAATTTTTTCATCATGGGTGTCATTTTGATGGTTCTCGTGGGTGTTGAAGCCGATAGTGCTGTCAAAATGTAAATCCAACATGGCGGCTGCAATAGGTATTAATTTTTTCATCATGGGTGTCATTTTCATGGTTTTTGAGAGAGTTGAAGCCGATGGGGTTGTCGAAATGTAAATCCAAAATGGCGGCAATTTTTTCATCAGGGGTGTCATTCTCATGGTTTTTGCGGGTGTTGAAACCGCTAGTGCTGTCGAAATGTAAATCCAAGGTGGCGGCTGCAATAGATATCAATTTTTTCACCTTGGGTGTCATTTTCATGGTTTTCGAGGGTGTTGAAGCCGATAGTGCTGTCGAAATGTATTTAAACTACTTTAAAAAATTCCGTATAACCATGTTATACGGAATTTTTTTAATGCGCTTAAGGTATGACCAATTGGATTGACCAATATTTTTTTTTTTATATACTTTGTCAAAGAAAGGTATTAGAAATAATTATAACAGTAGGTTGGCCAAGTAAATTATAATGACAGTTCACGGGTCAACGGAATAATGACCAATATGTAAACACTGATACAAATACACACAAGCAATCTTTTGATTTGTGCTAAAAACTGACAGAACAGGCAAGTATTCAGGGGCGCACACCCCAACAAGGCATTCTTACATATTTGTACACGTGCCTATATCGACACCTCCATGCAATACCATCTTAACTAATTTTTTATGTTTGTAGAGGAGACAGAATTTAAAGTTTAAAAAAATGTACCACGTTCAAAACTAACCGTACAATCTTTGAAGCTGTCACTATCTAATATTATTTAGGTGAAATATTTTTATGTACGGATAGGTTGTAAAAGAAAAGTTGATTTCATGGTTTTTCATGACTTACGTGAAAACCAATACATTGAAATGTCATATAAGTTACAAGGACAAGCATTGTATGTCTGAGATACAATTTAGAGTTTTGTAAGTTAATTTTATTTTTGTTGTCAAATAATTGTAACTCCAAAGTGGTATGCTACCTAAAATGATTCTTCATAGTAAAGTTTAAGTTTCTTTCATGCAAACAAGAATAATTCTGTAAAGTATCATCTCATAATGTGACGTGTAATAAATCTATTTTCTAACGAACTATTATGATAATGATTTATTGACACCAAAATAAAAAACTTCACTCGATACAAGCATTATTATCCGACTTAGAATTATGACACTAAGTATTTTTTTAACCATAAAAAATATCATTCTCTCCCGAAAACCAAACTGACTTTATTATTAATTCTTTAAACATAAAAAAATCTTCTTTCCCAAAAACAAAAATAATTGGAAATTAACTTCATAAAACTATTAATTTTCATCATCACTACCGTTGTCTTCAGCTAGTTGAGTGGAATGTAGAAGATTAAAATAGAAATTGTGTTAATCGCCATACATTTATACACAAACTCACAAGGTCCTTATACTTTGCTGTTGACAATAAGGGAATACTTTCTCCGTCGTTTGATTGTTCACACTGAATTGACTCTTGTGCTCTTTTTGTTCGTGTAATGCGTGTAGTAGGTTTCACAGCAAGGTTGATAGATAAGTACTGATCACTGAGATAATCATATTGAAAATATGATTTATATCTATGTCAGCTTTTCGTTTTCTGTTTTAATATATTGTATTTTAGTCCACGAGATCTTTTTTCCAGTACTATTCCAGGCCCAGTTTAGTTTTTTCTTTAGAAGGCTTTTATAATTAAGTATTAGGTTTCGATCTAATTCAGTAACATCATAAGGGGTCCCCGTAGTTTTAGCACATCTGATAAGAATGATCCATTGCTCTGGTACAAAAATAATCTGATTTTTCTTCCGACGCTCTATTAACGCGTGCATAGCATCCCTTTCAGATTGCATGTCAATTTCAGTGCGAATGTCCTACTTCAAA